GGGGGGGGCATTTTCTGCCACAGCGGGAGGCTTAGGATGGCCTATCGCTGGACTGTTAATCCAGAGACCCAGGCTCGAATCCTGCCCCGGGATCTGAACTCAATAAAGAATCCAGAGTCTGATGGTCACCGTGATTCCATTGTCCTCTGTCATCAAAAACCCAACCTGGTTTACTCCTGTCCTTCCGGGAGGCTGCCGATCCTCACCTGGGCTGGCCTACGCGTGACTCCAGACCCACCAGCAACGTGGCAGCCTCTTGGAGATTCGGAATCCCCATGGCGCATGGAAGCAGGCCATTCTGCCCATCGCGTCCACACCGACACTCCGAAGAGCGTCCCACCCAGCCTCTCCTTATAACACAACTTCTCCAGTCCTTGTAAATCTCTGGGGTGGCTCGTGTGTGGAACGAGCTGCCAGAGGAAGTGGTGGGGGCTGGTACAGTTACAATATTTAAAAGGCATCTGGATGGGGACATGGATAGGAAGGGTTTAGAGGGATAGGGGGCCAAATGCTGGCAAATGGGACTAGATTAATTTAGGATACCTGGGACTAGTTTAGTGTGGAAAACTTGGCTGGCATGGAGGAGTTGCACCGAAGGATCTGTTTCTGTGATGTATGACCATGACCTTACAGAACTTTATGAAATCATGAGGGGCCTGGGTAAAGTGAACAGCAAGGGGTCTTTTCCCTCGGCTGGGGTAGTTCAAAACAAAAGGGGCATATTTTTAAGGTTACAGGACATTTAAAAAGGACATGAGGGGCAACGCTTTTCTGTTTACACAGAGTGGTCTGTGTGTGGAATAAACTTTCAGAGGAAGTGGTGGATGTGGGTACAGTTACAACGTTTAGAAGCTATTTGGATAAGTACATGGATAGGAAAGGTTTGGAGGGATATGGGCCAGGAGCAGGCAGGTGGGACTAGTTTAGTTTGGGATTACGATCGGCATGCACTGGTTGGGCAGAAGGATCTGTTTCCGTGCTGTGTGACTCCGCGGCCAGCCAACAGAGCCACAACGATTGGGTCGACTCTTCAGCAACACTCTGGTACTGGCCCTCCGAGTGGCTCGTGGGGAAATCGGGGACTTTGGGAGGCGGCGGGGGGAGGTGTTGGCACATATGTTGCTGGCAATGCCCGAGGTGGTGGCGAGGAGGAGGAGGATCAGGAACGGTCGAGAGATGCCCACCCCCGCCTGCCCCCCTACCGCGTCTTGTTCTTGTTGTTGGGGGTTTCTGCCACGATGCCAGCGTACAGCCACACCGAGTTGCCGTCCTTGTACTTGGCGACCACTCTGCTCCCCACCATCAGGCGGTCAGCGGCAGGGTGGTAGTCGTAGGCAATGTGGTTCCCCGACAGCAGGCTCTTGCCCTTGTTGTCGAATTTCACTTTGTACTTATTGGCGCTGCCTGGTTTGGAGGCAAAAACAAAACACACAGAAGGCCGTCAGACAACACACCAGCAAGTAAATCCTTAGCGTCATACAGCACAGAAACAGACCCTTCGGCCCAACCAGTCCGTGCCGACCCTTATCCCAAACTAAACTAGTCCCACCTGCCTGCTCCTGGCCCATATCCCTCCAAACATTTCTCATTCATGTACTTATCCAAATGTCTTTTAAACGCTGTAACTGTATCCGCATCCACCACTTCCTCAGGAACTTTATTCCATACACGAACTACTGTGTAAAAAAAAAACAAAAATTGCCCCTCATGTCTTTTTAAAATTTCTCTCCTCTCACAATAAAGATGTGCCCCTAGTCTTGAACTCCCCACCCGACGGAGAAAACAACTACTGTTAACCCTACCTATACTCCTCACTTTTTTAGAAACTTCTATCAAGTCGCCTCTCAACCCCCTACACTCCAGCGAGAAAAAGTCCCAGCCTCTCCTTATAACTCAAACCTTCCATTCCCAGCAACATCCTGGTAAATCTCTCCCGAACCCTCCCCAGTTTAATAATAACCTTCCTATAACTAGGTGACCAGAACGGGACACAGTGCTCCAGAAGAGGCCTCACCAACGTCCTGTACAACCTCAACATGACCCAGCAACTCCTATACTTGAATCAGAGATAGTAGGAACTGCAGATGCTGGTGAATCCGAGACAACAAGGTGCAGGGCTGGATGAACACAGCAGGCCACGCAGCATCATAGGAGCAGAGAGGCAGACGTTTCGGGCCTAGACCCTTCATCAGAAAAGGGGGAGGGGAAGGGGGTTCTGAAATAAATAGGGAGAGAGTGGGAGGTGAGCAATGAAAGCAAGTGTGCCAAACGCCTTCTAAACCACCCTGTCTACTGCGGCACACCGTGGCTCAGTGGTTAGCACTGCTGCCTCACAGCGCCAGGGACCTGGGTTCGATCCCACCCTCGGGCGTCTGTCTGCGTGGAGTTTGCACATTCTCCCCGTGTCTGCGTGGGTTTCCTCCGGGTGCTCCGGTTTCCTCCCACAGTCCAAAGATGTGCAGGTTAGGGTGGATTAGCCGTGCTAAATTGCCCCGTAGTGTTCAGTGACGTGCAGGTTAGGGTGGATTGGCCGTGCTAAATTGCCCCGTATTGTTCAGTGACGTGCAGGTTAGGGTGGATTGGCCGTGCTAAATTGCCCTGTAGTGTTCAGGGATGTGTAGATTAGGTGGGTTTATAGGGGAATCTGTTTGGGTGGGATAGTCTGTGGGTCGGTGTGGACTTGTTGGGCCGAAGGGCCTGTTTCCACACTAGAGATGCTATGATTCTACCTGTGATGCAAACTTCAAAGAATTTGTACCTGAATCCCTAGGTCCCTCTGTTCTACAAGACTACCCCAGGGCCCTACTGTTAACTGAATAAGCCCTGCCCTTGTTTGTTTTATCAAAATGCAACACCTCGCATTTATCCAGATTGAACTGCCATTTTTACGTCTATACCTTTCAGTTTTATTTCTATGCGTTCAATCAAGACTGTGAAATGATCACCAGCGTGAATTCTCTGGCTCAGTAAGTTTTGCAGCTTTGTTTTGTCACGTTTGTCTTTCTTTGGGGGAAACGTGACTGAGCCCCAAATTAAGCAAGCATTAATTGCAGGGAAGTTGACTTCAGGCTTTTGGCGTGAAAATTGAAATGCAACTCTTTCCCCAGTAAACACGGTAACGCTTGCCTGGTGGACAAGGTTCAGCACCACATGATGCCAAGGAGAGTCACAGAGGGCTTACGGCATGGACACAGGCCCTTCGGCCCAACTTGTCCATGCCGCCTAGTTTTCACAATTAAACTAGTCCTGTTTGCCTGCGCTTGGTCCATGTCTCTCCATTCATATCCCATCCACCTACCTGTCCTAAGCGTTTTGTAAATGCAAACTGTAGTCACCTCTACCGTCCCAGATGCTCACCACCCTCTGTGTGAAGAAAATTGCCTTTCTGGACCCTTTTGTATCTCTCCCCTCTCACCTTAAACCTATGCCCTCTAGTTTTAGACTCCCCGAGCATATGGGCCGGGGCAGGGTGGGGGTGGGGGGTGCGGTACTGTCAGCTGCTTAGCTTTTCCACACCTCTCATGATTTTATAGACCTCTGTAAGGTCACTCCTCAGTCTCCAGGGGGAAGAGGACCCAGCCTCTCCTTATATCTCCAACCTTCCAGTCCAGGTAGCAGTGTAATAAATCTTTTCGGCATCCTTTCTAGTTTAATAATATCCTTTCTATTAGAAGGGTGACCAGAACTGCATGCTGTACTCCAAGTGTGGCCTCACCAATGTCTTGCAACAAGACGTCCCATCTCCTATACCCAATGCTCTAATGCTAGCATTCCAAAAGCCTTCTTCATTGCCCTGTCTACCTGTGCCTCCACTTCCAAGGAGCTGTGAACCTGCACCCCTCGATCTCTTTGTTCTACAACACTCCCCAGGGCTCTACCATTGATGGTCTAAGTCCTGCCCTGGTTGGTCTGACCAAAAATGCAACACCTTACATTTATCTGCATTAAACTCCATCCGATCAAGATATCGTTGTACTCTCAGGGAACCTTCTTCGCTGTCCACTAAACCAACAACTTTGGTGTCACCTGCATCCAAGTTGTTTTATATAAATGGGAAACGACAGCGGACCCACCCCTGTCCAACACCGCTGGGTACAGGCCCTCCAGTCTGAACAACAACCCTCCACCACCACCCACTCTCTTCTACAGTTTTGTATCCAGTTGGCTAGCTCCCCCTGGATCCTGAGAGATTTAACCTTACTCAACAAGCTACCATGCGGTACCTTGTCCAAGGCCCCCACATAGACAATGCCCAAATAGACACTGCCCTCTTCCACTTTCTTGGTTACGCCTTCAAAAGCTTTATCAAAAGCATGCGACACGATTTCCCCATGCACAAAGCCATGCTGACTATCCCAAACCAATCCTTGCCTCTCCAAATGCCTGGAGCTGCTCCCTCTCAGAATTGCCTCGAACCACTTAGCCACCACGGACGCTGGGCTCACTAGCCTGTAGTTCCCAGGCATTTCCCTGCAACCTTTCTTAAATTATGGCTCAATATTAGCCACCTTCCCATCTTTGGGCACTTCACGATGATACAAATTGCCGATGATACAAATATCTCCACTTGGGGGTCCTGTAATTTCTCCCTCGCCTCCCACAAAGTCCTGGGATACATTTCATCGACCTTTGCGTAACAGAAGGGGGTCATGACACCACCTGATGCCAGGGGAAGATGGCACTTACGTTTGTGGGTGGCGAATGCTTGATGGGGGCCCAGCAATGCGAAGCCTCCGCACCAACGTTAGCCAAAGCGGATGCCGACAACAGAACTTTGGATTAAAATAAAAACCGTGTGGCTTGTAAAATATAACCCCACTTTCTCAACCTGCCCATTTCACCCGGATGCCACCTACCTGTGGTCACAATGGCAATCAGCATCCCTTTGTGCCATGTTTTGGTTCTCTTCTTGCCTAGGATCCGCATGCCCTTGAAGAGGTCTCCGTCCTTCACCACCTCGCCGTCCTCCACGACGGAGCTGCCTGCTTGTGGTGGGTTGGCGGTTGGGGGCTGTGGCACGGGGAGACGGGCTGGGCGTGGGTGGG